GAACGCGAACCAGAACATGGGAGTTTACTACGACTCCATGCAGCTGACGGTTTACTACCAGGACCAGAGCATCGGCGGTTCGCCCCTGTCGAACCCGTTCTACCAGGAGCCGAAGAAGACGGCGGTGTTCGCCGGAACCCTCGGCGGCGCCGCCCTGACGGTGACCGGCCAGCGGTGGCAGCAGTTCATGGCGGACAAGGCCCGCGGCGAGGTTGTTTTCCGGCTGGAGGTTGCGTCGACGATCCGGTTCAAGATATCGACTTGGGATAGCAAGCGGCATAAGATGCACGCGAATTGCCCGGTCGGAGTTGGACCGGACGGTTTGATCTTGCCGAGTTATAAAGACCGGAGGTGCCCGGTTTACTTCAGCTAATTGGTCATTAGCATGTGTTAAATATAAATATAATATATATAGTTTCTAAATTTCCTTTTGTTGGGTGTGGATTGATTTTTGTTTTCAATATATAAAATCGCAATTTTTTTTTTTAATTGCAATTTGACACCAAAAAATAGTTAAGTTAGGAACTTAACTGTAGTACTACTATATAACACCTAATTCTAAATAACACAATATTTGTTGGAGTAAAAATACAAATTGATATATAATTGACCCCATAAGAGATTACGCGGTTAAGTTTTCGCTAACAACTTCACAGTATATCTTCAAAGAAGAAATTATGGGCGGCAGTGAGATTTTTTGAGACAATCGTTACGAAAAAACGTGAATATCATTTTTTTCGTGAATGCTCGATGATCCTCTTTGTTCGTCTTATCGATCATTTATATAGAGTTAGGGTTTTTTTAGAATCCGTTGACAATAGATCTTTATTTTCTTTCGTTATGTGATATATCTTTTTCGGGAATAAAAATTACTTAAAATACCCAAAATATCCTCGCATGATAAGTTATTTTTTTTCTAAATTTAGGTGTAATCCATTATCTTCTTTTGTTTATATACCATTATGCGCAGATAGACAAATGTGGATGACAACATATAAAAAGATTGGTCGATATATTATTATATTTATTTTTTGATGAATTATTGGTAATATTAAAATAGGGAATATATATGCTGACTCGGATTGGAGAAAGAAAAAGAGGTCCAGCTGGATAAGGTTTCCACAAATTGTTCCACATGGTCACCATTTTATTTCAGCTCTAATATAATTACATTCTCTGCTACAATTGAATTTTTAATTTTTTAATTTATTTATTGCCTAACTTTTTTATTGGTTTCTAATTAATTGTGAATCAGCTTTCCACTTCCATTTTGTGATTAACCATTTTTTTAATGACTAAATTTCCTAGTCGCAAAATTGTCCCCTCCATTGCAGTGAAGTAGACACAAAATAATAAAAAATAATAATAATAAATAAAATGGTTCTTTTTATTTTTCTCTCCAAAATTTAAATAAATATTAAATAAACAAATAAATAAAAAGTCGGCCTTTTTAAATAATGTACACGGGCCTAAAGCCGGCATTATTCAACATTATATTTATCCACCCCTTTAGGCCCACTGGTAATTACAATTATTTTAAAGTTAAATTAAATTTAAAACCACCCCTCAAAATATGATCAAATTACGGAACCCCCTTTTGTTTGGGTAAATGTTCTTACACGTCCACCATTGCGGTTTAAAATTTAGTGGAATCTTCTAAATATATGGAGTATTCTCAGTTTTGTACCATTTTTATCTCATTTCAGCTCCACATTTTGAAGCAAGATGAACACATGACGTGTATTTTGGCTTGTATATATCAGAATGTGGTGCATCAGAAACTATATTTTTGCACTAAATGAATATGAGATACGAGTACAATCTAGATAATATTTCTAGAAATATAGATGATTATGTTGAATTTGACAACATAAGGGTGGAGATGTAAGAAGATTCATAATTAAGGAATAATTATAATTATCCAAACATAAGAGTTTTTTCGTAATTCGACCTTACTTTAGAGGTGGTTGTAACTGAATCGTAAAATAAAACAAAAATAAAAATAAAAATCAGTAGTGCTTTATTTATTTATTTATTAAATCGTTTTATTTACTTTGAACTTTAATTTATATGTGTAGTATATATATTTGTATTTTAAAATGTATTTTGAAATAAAAAATAAAAGTAAATATATATTATTATTATATATAAAAAGGGTTCCATTAGTTATCAGTAGCCCACTTCACTCTGTAGTGGGAACTCAAAACAAAAAGAGCAGAAAAAATTAAATAAATAAATGAAGCATAAATTCCTAAAATATTTCTTCCTTGTGATTTTCTCCACCACCTTCTTCGATGTTTCCCATGCAAAATCCATTTCCGAAACCCTCAATTTCAATCAAGCTCTCAACGCCACTCATCAATGGCGGTCTCCCGCACAATTCGTCAACCCAACCCCTCAATTTCTGCTCGCCGGAGCTCTATCCTTCATCGCCGCCGCGATTTCCAGCGCCGGTGGACTCGGCGGCGGCGGACTGTTCGTACCGATTCTAACCATCTAAAACAAAAATTACTGAGGTGAAGTTTATGTAACGAGGCAAAAACGAGAATATTGGAGGAAATAAATTTCTCTTATTATCTGGATAGTTTAAATGAATTACATATGCTGTAAATAAATAGGATGTGGAGTATTAACAAACTCCTAAATTCACTCTAACAAATTAGAGATAAATCTGCCACTAAAAATATTAATCTAACTACTAGCATAACTTATTTTGACCTGGTAAAAACAAGAAATATGAAATTACTTACTAAACTAATTAAAATTAAAAATGCACTAATTTTCAACACTCCCCCTTAGTGCATACTTACGATCAACAACCCCAAGTGCAGCTGTAAAGTATTCAAACTTAGACTTTGCTAGAGCTTTTGTAAAGATATCTGCAACTTGTTCGCTTGTGGCAACTTTCTCCAACTCGATTTCTTGCTTCAATACGTTCTCTCGAATGTAGTGATGACGATTTTCGATATGTTTTGTTCTTCCATGAAACACTGGATTTGAAGCAAGTTTGATAGCACTTTCGTTATCACATTTAATTTTCACTGCATATTCAACTTGCAAAACAAGTCTCCCAACAAACTCT